ATATATATATATATATATATATAATAACATTGGATTGATATCTCTATGTACTCACCAGGTTTCCCAACCTGACCCACCCAGCTTCTTTGTTTCACAGGTAACAATACAAAGATACATGCACAATGAGTGATTCAAAGAGATGTAGTATGTTAGTCTAAGACATTGTAAGGCATGTTTATGCTTATGTTTTGTATCAGTTATGACATCCCAAGCTTTTTATAAACTAATGAAAAATATTTATTTGGAAATAAATACTTTTACGAGACCAAATTCCGCATTAACAAATAAACTCTGGTTTTGAATAAGAATAAATATAAAGTTTAAAAATGGTCGTAAATTTTGGGATGTCACATTTGGTATCAGAGCATTAGTTTAAGCGAACTAGGAATTTGTAGGATTTCTAGACATAAACTTAGAATGCTAAGCAATGATTGTGAGATGAGTGTCTGTTATACTTTAGGTAGTATGCTTGAATAGATACATACACTAGCTTATTTTAGGAAAGATGTGTAAGTTGCCTTTTATGTGCTAAATAATATATGTTATAGCTGTAAGATGCCTTATATGCTTTAGGATGCTATTATTTGATCAAATATATGGTCTATTGTCGACTAGATCTGGAAATTTTATGTGTTCAGGTTTTTAAACGTTTAATTATGGTATTAAAACAGGTATATGACTTTTCGGAGTGATAAGGAGATTTATACGTCTATCATAAGTAGAGTCTTCCTTATCTTAATTCTCATCACTATACACTGAACGTCTACATTGGTGTATAGAACATCATGGTGAGAACACGCAACGGATTAGGAGACGCTAATGGAAACCACGAGCTTCAGCCACGAGTGATTGAGCATGGACCAGAAGTAGCAGCTGCACCCGAGCCAATCACGATGGCAGGAGTAGGCAATAATGCAGATGATGTTAGATCATCAGATGGAGGAGACAAGGCGTCTATTCGGGGAGAATGGAAGAGAACCTACCACACACATTATGCAACATGGGTTGGAAGAGGAACAGTCGTAAGAAGGAAATTACAGTCGGACTGTTAGCCAGGCTCAGCCCTAAGTAATAAGGAGGAACAATCCTGATGATAGGGTTAAGAGAAGGGGATGCAAGTACAAAGATTTCATGGCTGCCAAACCACCAAGTCTTTTTGGGAATCCAACCCTAATGCAAATCATGGAATGGATCTCCGAGATAGTGATGGTGTTTGACAGTTGTGACTGCAGCGAGAGGCAGAAGACAATCTTTGCTGCCCGACAGCTAAAGGGTGGAGTTTTGATCTGGAGGAATCTATTGGATGATTCTATGCCAAGAGGAAAAGAAAGGAGAATGTCATGGGGTAAATTCCTGATGCAGTTGAAAAGAGAATATTGCTCTGATCAAGAGCTTCTGGTTATCAACAATGAGTTCCAGAATCTTAAGAAGGGCAATCTAAGCGTCAGCGAGTATGTTGCAGCCTTCACTAAAAAGATGAATTTGGTACCTCATCTGATACCCATAGAACATTCCAAGGTCGATAAGTTCCCTAACAGACTACCATCATACTTTGGTCTAACGGTAAAGTTAGCGAAGACCTTCAAGAAGGCTATTTGGTCAGCCAAGAATGTGGAGATCCAGATAAGGGAAAAGAGTCTGGAGAAAGTTGAGAAGGGAGAGAAGAGGAAGATGGAAGGATCTTCTAAATCCAATAAAAAGAGTAGATTTTCACAATCTAACAACAAGGAGCTTGAGAGTAGCGGCAAGGCACAATGGTGTGACAAGTGCAAAAGGAAGCACTTTGGGAGATGCACCGAAGATGTGACATGCTTCAAGTGTGGGAAGATTGGTCGCTATGCCAATGAATGCAAGGCCAAGAAGGAGGACTGATCCGAGTGTGGAGAAGCAGAGGATTTCCACAAGGATTGCCCAAAGAAAAGATGAGTGGAAAAAAGCCAAATATTCCGCTGAAGCCGAAGGCAATGGTGTATCATATGATCATTGACGAAACAACAATATGTCGAGAATAGAGAGCGGCTTATCCAGAATTAGGTATATGTAGAAGCAGATGAGTAGTATTAGAATGAGTGGCCTGATGTAATAGGCATGTAATATAAATAAATCTTGTAACCGTTTTCGTAGATAATGCAATTTCCTAAATTATATTATGTGCTTTCTGTGTGATTTCCTTTTTGTGATAACTTAGTGAACTGCGAGACAATTCTTGGGACGATTATGAGTAGGTGTGAAGGGTAGTAGAGGCATATACTATCGGAAGCACATGACTCGCACTTGGATCAAGGAAAGTCACAAGGCTACTAAGTCTCTAATTAGTTGAGCTATTTTGTTCATTTCCATCATTACTTTTGTTTCGGTAATGACTACGAAGATAAATATTATTCCGACCTTAGTGGTCATATCTACTCGAGTCCGACTAATCTACGAAGTAAGTTCGATGTAGTGGCTGACTTTGGTTAAAATATCAAAGGAAAAGATAATCGAAGCGATCAACAGAAGTATCGTGGTCGCCATTAAAATTAAGCAGTCTAAAGCTAGAAGTGTTACATGTTAGAATGTGATTATATCACATTAGAACATGAATGAAGTTATCTTTCATGCTAGAGTCTGACTCAAAGATACATGAGTCTAACCGTTGCGTCATACGATGAGAGATCATTAGAACATGACCCATCGGTCTATTACAATAGTCGAAGTAAGGTCCTTAGTTTAGGTTGAGTCTATTCTAGAAATAACGGTAGTCTCCAATGGAGATCGAATTTAGAAGGAAGAACAAGTACATAATTGAGCACCATCAACGATCAAGAAGAGTTAGAAAAGACGCAAAAGTTGTGATTATTAGCTACGATGGAAAGGCAATGTGCGGACTCATTATTTAATCCATCTTTTGTTGATGATTCTGGGATGTAATCATCCTAAATGGGAGATAATTGTAACGCACGCAGATTCGGGCTAGTCAATTTAGAGATAATAAGCGTTAAAAATGACTTTTTGATAGAGGGTTATTTAGGATAAATAATCTTAACAAAATTTATAATGTATGTGACAAGGTTTCCGTACATATAAAGGACGTTGAAATCCGACTTCGTATGAAGAAGTTATGTTTCTTCGAAGTTTTGAGATTAAACCGACACGGCTCTACATATCGTTAAAAGTGAAATCTTGATAACTTACTTTTTAGCCTTAGTGATCTAAACAAAATTCATAGTAGTCGTTAAACCGAGAGCATGCATATAGAGAACGTCCAAATCTGACTTAATAATAGGAAGTTATGATATTTCGAAGTTTCAGCGTAGCAGTGCGGGCACAGAAATCGAAATTCTAAACAGTTGATTGTTATCCAAAACAATCTAAACGAGAATCAAAGATCTCGTGAATATCAACCTGTCGATAAAAAGACAGTCAAGAACAGAGTTCGTATGAAGGAATTATGAATTTCGCACAGAGTTTAACAGTCTAAACCGGTCTAAATATGAATTTTTTGGTATAGCTATAATTAGGTGTTGAGACCTTAATGAAAGTTGTAGAGCTCGTCGAGAGGATTCCGGGGATATAAAGAACGTCGAAAACGGAGTTCGTATGTGAAAGTTATGGCCGTCCAAAGATTTCAAGAAAGTAGTTGTGATGATGACGTGGCAACACCGGAGTGCGCCATGTGGCAAGCCAACCCCTCACTCCTCCAAAAGATATGGCGACACGGCCCCAAAAAATTTTGATGTGTGGTGTTGGGCTATATTTGGTGGTTTATGCTTTCTTTTGAATGTATTATATGGTTCTTAGTGGGCTTAGTGTGTTTTTGATGGGCCTTTTATGTTTGGGCTTTAGGTTAATCGGTTTAGTATATATATAGTATGTGTTTAGTCATTTAGGTCTAATGCGTTTTTGGTGAACAAGAGTGATTCACGGTTGAAGGGTGTATGAATGTACTTGACAATTATTCAATAGAATTGTGTGCATTCATTTGAAATGTGTTCTTGATATATTTTATTGATTGTTTCGTATCATTGTTTGATTAAGATTCCGCATTAAATCAAACAATTGCATTGATACTTTGATAGATCCGATTTTAGGGACTTACAAGTGGTATCAGAGCAGTTTTGACCGAAATCGGTCTTTTGACCGAAATCGATTAAAATCTTGACTTTAACCGAAAACAACTGAAACCTTGTCTTTGACCGAAATCGACTAAAGCTTTGACTTTAACCAAAATCGACTAAAACTTTAATTTTAACCGAAATCAGATTTCAAACTCAATTTAATTAATTTTAAATTAATTCTTACTTGGCTAGTTTGGTGCAGATAAATGGCAGAGCAACTAAAATTCGTAGATTCTCACAACATTGTTGGATATCTCATGGATCCACCTGCTGCTCATCAAGAATTCAAATCCCCGATGGTGGGTTTGAACAACTTCAGGATTTCTCAAGCCCTTCGTGCTAATCCAGTCATCCACAGAGACCTGATCACTGAGTTCTGGAAAAATGCTTCGATCAACAAGCAAGGAGCAGATGGAGCTGGTACTGTTGAATCGATGGTGAAAGGAACACAGGTAATTATTTCTGAACAAGTTATTCGAGAGGTACTTGAATTTGGTGATGCATCTGCATTCCCAATTGAGTACTCTGCTGATCAAGTCAAGGAAGTTCTTGAAAAGATGTGTTATGAAGGAACCTATCCTCCCACCATCAAGAAGTTATTGCCACCTTACTGGAGGTTCATGGCACATTCTTTTGTGATTTGCATTTCTGGAAGGAAGGGGGCTCTGATGAAATTAGTCAGACTGTAACCTCAACCATTGTCGCTCTGGCTATGGACTGGGATTATAATTTCTCAAAGTTCATTTTTACAGAAATAAAGAGCAACCTCATGGGAAAGAAGAAGGACATATTTTTGATGTACCCCAGGTTCCTTCAAATGATCCTTAATGAAAAATATCCCCAAATTGAGAGGTCGTCTGATACTTTGGATATGAAAGCCTTGGGTCCAACACCTTTGGACTCATGAAGCAATCAAGAAAGGTTGCCAAAGTCGCCTATCAAGGATTGAAGGAGTTGGTTAAATTTGGAAAGTTTGTTGAAGTTGAAAACACTCCTGTTGTTAGTTCCATTAATGTTGAGGTTGTCGAGGAACACGTGGAACCTAAACCAAAATTTCAATTAGCCTTTGAAGAGGTTGAAGTATCTGATGATGAAGAAGATCAAGAGGATCAAGGAAATGAACTATCAGAAAATGAGTTTGAAAATTTTATTCAGCAAAGTATTTCATTCCCAGAAGAGGATGTGGCTATTACACCTCTGAGTGTGACTGAGAGGGAAAGTGACACAATGGTGCAATCTTCCTCACCTACCCCTGAACAGATGGATACTCTTATTGCAGAACTTCATCGAACTGCAAGGAAGCCTCCCCAAATAGTTCCTGTTGATACTGATCCTCCATCTGGAAGTGATCTAGAAGACTCAGCCAATTCTTTACTCCCAAGGAAGCGTAAAAGAAGAGATCCAAGGTTTGGAGTGCTTATCACAGACCTAGTTCACAAGAAATCTACATCGACTGAGCCCAGTTCGATTACTCAAAACATTTAAAGCCCATTCATTGAGTCCTCTCTAGTGACTCAAGAAATGTCAAGCCCGATCCCTGAGTCCACTCCTATGGATCAGGATTTTCAAAGCCCTATTGTTGAAGAAGAAGTCTTACCTTCGGAAGGAGCTCAAGGTTCAAGAAGCTCTTTTGAAACACCTGAGCTGGACATCTCCAAAGGCAAAAGCAAGTTTCCTAACTTTGAATTGGTTGATGTGGTTCTGCTTCAAAACAGAGCCTTTGATCTAGAACAAAGCTCTGCAGAAAAAGATTTGATAATTGGAAAGCAGGACATTCGTATTAGCGAGCTTGAAAGAGAGAACTCCGACAAAGCTTCAAAGATCTAAGAACTTCAAGCAAATATTGGTGGCCTAACTGCTCTATTCTTTGACCTGAAACAGTGCCTATTTCAAAAGTTTGGTGATGAATTTCAACCTTTGAGCGCTGAAGGAGAAAGGATCACTGCTTCTAGTTCTGGTCCCGCCAATCCAGCTTCTCAATCATCAAGTGAAACAACTATGAGACCCGCTCCAGATGTTAATCTTGATACATTCTTATCTTCTGGTCCTGCTACTGCTCAAGAAAGAACAGAGAAGCAAATAGGGATTGAACAGCTAAAAGGGAAGATGTTGGTGATGAAGCATTCAGACCAAAATGCTCCAGGTGATCACCCTGAGATGTTTTTTCAGGGAAACTGGAAAGAAGTTTACAGATAAATATGGGGATCGTTCTGGCATCATCATGTGGGGATATGATGATGATAAAAGGATGTGGGTCATGAAGCGAAAAAGTGGAAAAATTGAATACTATGAGAAGAAAGTTGATTTCTTGTCCTGGACAAAAGTTGATCTTTCTGAACTCATCCACGCACCCTTCCACAATCCAACTAATGATACCATTGTCAGGTCCTTTAAGAATTTTCTTGATATTAAAACGAAAAAAAACTTTGAAGGTTTAAAGATTGCTTCACCGTTTTACAAAGAAGGAAAAGGGTGTCATTGATCCTCGCACAAATAAAACCATGGTGAATGTCATGTGGCCACCCACAAAGCAAGCTAAAAGGATTCATCTTCCTAAACGTTTAACTGAAGGCACTTTGGATACAATACAATTTTGGGTTTATGATGAGGCTACTGCAACTGTGGTGATCAAGCTGAAGAAAAACTAGTTTCGTATTGTTGATCCCAAAGATTTATTGAAGTTTGGGGAACGAGATATCAGCACCTTATCAAACTTTCAAATAATTGTTGAGAATAAACTGTTTGAAGTTGCCGCAAAAGCCTTCACTGGAATGGTAGCTACAATAATTGACAAGAAGTTGTGGGCAGGGGCTTTTGACCAAGCAGACGTGCATCTCGTAGAGAAACCTTGAAGAGAACAGAAAGCAATAAACCAAGGGGGAGATTGTTGGGCTATATTTGGTGGTTTATGCTTTGTTTTTAATGTATTTAATGGGTTCTCAGTGGGCTTAGTGTGTTTTTGGTGGGCCTTTTATGTTTGGGCTTTAGGTTAATCGGTTTGGTATATATATAGTCTGTGTTTAGTCATTTAGGTCTAATGCATTTTTGGTGAACAAGAGTGATTCATGGTTGAAGGGTGTATGAATGTACTTAACTATTATTCAATAGAATTGTGTGCATTCATTTGAAACGTGTTCTTGATATATTTTATTGATTGTTTCATATCATTGTTTGATTAAGATTTTGCAATAAATCAAACAATTGCATTGATACTTTGATAGATATGAGTTTAGGGACTGACATGTGGCATGTTCTAGAAGAAGGGGTTGTGGACCTCTAAGATTTCGACATGTGGCAAAAGGGGAGTGGAGCCAGCCAGGCTCATGTGTGTGTCGCACATACTAGACCTGCGCGGCGCGCCCTTCTGTGTTCTATAAATACCCTCCGTTTTTCTGTCATTTTCCTCACAAGTTCCTTCATATCTCTCTCTATACTCTCTATCTTTCGATATAGGCTTTCTTCCCAACCTTTAGAATATTTTGGTATAGTCTCCGGAACTCTAAGAGCCCGATGAGAAGGAGTACTTGGGTCGAGATTTTGTCTGCGTATTTTCCCAGTTTTTGCTAAAATATTTGTAAGTTAAGTTGCACTCTTTTGCTTTCAGTGTAACTTATATATATAGTCATAATTCGTTATTATGAACTTAAAAATAAGATTTATCAGTAACTCCAAGTCATTATACTGATTGATCAACTTACGGGAGAGGTGTCTAGAATGGTCACATTGGCTTGGTTGTTGGATTTCTATGTCGAAATGATCATGTCTCCCAACTGTCGGGCCTGGCTAATCCTTACTTGATAGGTCTTGATGTAGACATTGGTATTAGTGAGGAATCTAGACTATAATTATTATAGTCACCAGGATCACGAAACTAGATTAAGGCTTAGTACTTTATGCGTATATGTCTTTTCAAAGTACGAAGCTAAGCTCTAATCTGATAATATATTATATACGAACCAAGTATGGTTCTATATGAGTTAAGTTATTACTTCATGATAAAAATAATAAAATATCATTAGAGAGAAGGATAGAGGTTTATTAATACCTAAATATTTTGTACATACTGAAGTAGGATAATGTTGTTTAAACAGAGTCGGTATTAGGAGTTGAGCGTTGTAGTCTTACCAAGAGATAATATAAGACTTTTAAAAGAGACTTAAGTTTAATTAAGTGGGAAAATGGGTAGCATATCCTTAAGAGTGCATGCGATACATGAACGAAGAGTAGAATTCTGACGTCCCTGGTCCGAGAGTATAGATTAGGCATAGTCATTTGACCTTGGTCCGAGAGTATGTACTAGGCATAATCAATTTTCACCGATCTGTAACATTCCGTTAAAAAAATAAATAATAATAATAATAATAATAATAAATAAATAAATAAATAAATAATAAGCCCTAAGACCCCGAGACGTACTTTATATTTTATTTTATTTTAACCTTAAATCCGTAATAATTTATCAGTGTTAGCCATAAGGAGTTAAATGGTATAATTTCTAGAATTTGGGGTCTATATTATAACATTAGGACTTGAAATGTTAAGAAATTCGTAAAGCAAGGGTTGTTTGGTAATTATTGGATTTAATTTGAAAAAGGATTTAGGGAGGCAGGGACCAATGTTGTATAAAAGAAATGAAGTTTGGAAGGGACGGGATTTAAACCTAGCGCCCCCTCCCCCCCCCCCTCGTTTCCTTCATGCTAACCCTAACACTAAACATATCTTCCAGCCGCCACCCTTATACCTCCATTCCTCCAGCCACCGTTGCCACCTTATCCCCGCTTTGCACCACCAAGCGACCCGTCGTTGTTCCCGACGTCGACGAATACAAGAACCGCAAGCCCGAAGCCGTAACAGTGGGGAGATCGGAGGAGATGAAGGCTCGTGATATCTGTTGCTGCCATTTTCAGTCGGTTTTGCGCACCTCCCTTTTCTCCGATTCATTTTCCGTTAACATCGTCGCTGCAGCCGCTCCACGCGGCTGTTCTTTTCGTGGTTACTCCGACCATCGTCCTCCTCCAAAGAGGAGGTTGCAGCAGCGTGGTGAGTGTTTTCGAAGGTGTGTGTGTGCATGTTTCAAAATATGTCGGCGTGTGTGTGTGCATTTGTTGGCCGAAGATCGTAAAGGACCACCATGGCAGCCAACCATGGTGGTTGCCGCCCATGCTACTTCTTATGCCGCCACCAGCCACTGTGAGAGGTGGTTGTGTATGTGTGTGAACTGGTGTTTATGTGTGTGTTTATTTTAGTTGAATGTTGTTTTTGGGTGTTGCTTGACCTGAATCTGAAGAAAAACCACCACCACCACCACCACCGTGAGGTGGTGGTTGCCACCACATGTCGCCGTTCTACCACCACCAGCAGCCACTTTGGGGGGCTATGTGTATATGTGTGTATGTTTGTATGGATGTTTGAAATGCATTTGTCGCTGTTTTGGCCTAAAATCATAACCACCACCACCGTGAGGTAGTGGCTGTTGTGACATCCCCAAAATCACAGCCAGAAAAGACCGGTTTCATTTATGCTTTTAAAATAATTTCAGAGTAAATCCATTGATTTAAAAGAGTTGCGGAATTTGTCCCCAAAACAAAAGATGATAAAATAAAGTTTATCAAAGCATTTCTTAAAGAAATGTATTTTCATTATATATCAAAATTCGAGATGTCATGTTCCGATACAGACACAAAAGCATAAACAATAAAATATAGACCTTGCACAGTTTTATACAACTACGGGTCTATAAACAAAAACATCTTCACAAGTTCTCCAACTTATGCTCTCGCGCCACTACCTGTAATACAAAGAAACTGAGTGGGTCAGGCTTGGGAGCCTGGTGAGCATATAGGGTTTTCAACCCACAATAAAAAATTATATTTAATTTCACCAACCAACAATAACCTGATTACCTATTCCCGTTATCCTCACTTTACGCCCTATGACAACAACTATTACAAGGGACCTAATCTAGGATATTAATCGAGGCGGACACTACTGCGAAGGGGTTTCCTCGGCAATGAATGTCCTAAGGCAACCATGAGGGGGATAGCATACAGAAAATGAACACCCAAGTTCACTACACCTACAGGTTATGAGCCTGCCAGCGTTCCACTGAACTGTCTAGAAAAGCCCGTGGTCGTCATCCATATTCTGCTGGACGACTAGATCACAATCACATCGAGGCCTCTCATCATTTTATTTCATCACACAACAACTGTCTACCCATGTTCTATCAAACATATTAGTAGATAAAAATATATACATTTATATACAGCTTAAAACCTGTACAAATCATTCATTCAATAATTATTTCAAACAAGCAAATAATATACAAACACATAACACGTATTTTGTAGAGAATACTTCGTATCTATGTGTTAGAAGAAAAGGAATATACACTCACTCATAACATATACTTAATACATTCAAACAATACTTGTATTAAAATCGTGTTTATGAAAGAGACTATACACTCACTTGATCAGAAGATGATCGGACAGCACTACGGCTCTAAGAGTAGTATTCTTCGGTGAAACGGGGAGATCTTCACAAAAACCGGGCTTCTCGTGGGCAGAGTTTCGGCTCGGGAACTCTGTTTCTCAGGATCTTCGGGGCTTCGAGACTCGCTTCGGGTCTCGAGATGATACCGGAGCATAGGGGGTATACTTTGCACATAAAACGAGGTAATATGGAGTGAGAGGAAAGAATTTGGCAACAAAACTTGGCTGCACTTGTGATCTATTTATAGGGTGAATCTGGTCTCAAACGCAGCGCGTTCCCTGAATGAACGCAGTGCGTTCCTTGGACGAACGCAGCGTGTTCCGCCGTGCGTT